TTTTTTTTTTTGGTGCGCGCGCGGTGCTGACTGACCCCCGACCGTTATGTGCCGACCAGTCCGACGGTCGGCTGGTCAGCCCCCGACCAATCCAGGGGCGCCGACTGTCGGCCTGACTACTCTGCTAGCTTCTCATTCCAACTCTGTCCATTTGTCTACATTCGAGTTCAGGATTTTATTTTATTTTATTTTTTTTATTAATAAAGCCCCCAACAGTGTTAGTGGTGCTGATACGAGCAGACACCACTACCACCCAGGAGACTGCTCCATCTATTGGTGGGGAGCATCACCTGCTGGAAAGCGGGTCCAGCGTCCCATGTACATCAGATCAATCACGGAGCGTATTCCTGCCAGCATTGATTGCCCTCGGGTACAGGGGATTGACTGAGCAGGATGTTTACTTGGGGGAGAGGGAGAGACCTCTTCAGAAATCGTACTCACAAATATACGTTGCCCTTCTTCACCAAAGGGATCCTCCCCTGGGCCGATCCTCCCACTGCGAACAACCAGCAGAAACTGAAATCAGTGCAAGAAACAGGGTGGAGAAAAGAAGTCATGCCAGAGACAATAAAAAAAAAAAGAAGGGGGAAACAAAAACTCAACATTAAACTAGGAAGATTCTCACGCCCGGCCGGTCCTGCCTGGCCGGGCACCCGGGCGTGACACCCGGGGGTACCCCGGCGTGCAAGAACAAACAAAAAAAAAAAGATTTTTTTTTTTTTTTTTTTTGGGTTTTCTGCGCTCTGCCAGAGGGCTCCAAATCCGGGCTCATTTCGTTTTTTGCGAGTTGGCTGTCAGGGGGGAGGGAGGGGGGTATAAATTGGTTTTAAAGGGGCTTAAGGGGTCTAAAGGGGGGTGCCTTTGTGTGACTCTGTTATTTTCTTTTTTATCTCCGATTCTGTGAGGAATCATAATGTGACCCTCAGCCAAAAGTGGTTCTACACAACATATGTTTTTTCCGGAAATTTTTGAGTTTTTTTTTTTTTTTTTTTTTGGCGCTGGGGCTTCCCGGAACCCTGCCCGGGGGTCATGCCCGGCCGGGCACCCGGGCGTGTAACCCGGCAGAAGTTGGGTGCCCGGGCGCCCGGGAAAACAGCCTAGACATTAAATCCATAAAGACTTTTTCCTTGTGTAGCCTGTTTCCATTGTGCAAAGACAGGTTCAATCAAATTTGTTTTCTGGAGTACCAAAAGCTTGCATTACATCATTATGGACATATAATCCTAAAGTGTGAAATCCTAAGAATAATCTAGCCCAACTTAAATGAGATATAATTGCTTCTTTATGTTCAAACATTATAGCTACAAGTCACAGGTGCACCACCGCGATGCCGGGCGCTGGGATGTGACCCTGCGCACCAACGACGCGGTGTGTGTGTGTGTGTGTGTGTGTGTGTGTGTGTGTGTGTGTGTGTGTGAGAGAGAGAGAGAGAGAGAGAGAGAGAGAGAGAGAGAGAG